TTAATGCAGGCAGAAAAACACTGAATTTACATTACGTATAAAACCTTTTCATCCAGAGAGTTTCACATCCCACTGTTCAAGTGAATGAAAAGTTTCATAAAGTGCATTAAGTTGAATCTGACTCAGGTTTTGCTGGTTCATGGGACATGGAATCGGGCTGATGAGGCTTATGGGTACTGTAGTATTTTGTTCCATTCAGCATAGTTAACTGACTGAAAAACAACAACTCAGCAACTCATTCACAATGCTGCTGCTAGAATACTGACAAACACCAAGAAGAGATAACACAAGTCTCCAATTCTTAGATCCCTGCACTGACTTCCAGTTATATATTTTTGTTTTATAAGATTCTACTTATTGTCCATAAGTCCTCAATGGTCAGGGCCCAACATATATTGCAGGCTTAAACCTGATGGCTGTTTGTGCCGCTGTGTGTGGGTTGCAACACAGCTCGATCCTAACATGTATAACAGCACTGTCTATGTTTTCTATTTCACAATGTATTAGCCATCTGATTCAAGGCTTTTTTTAACTTTTTCTGCCAGAAGGGTGACTTGGACCTTCCTTCTTTTTTGAACTTTAGTGTTTGCGACCAAAGAGCAACTTCTGAGCACTCCGGACCTTCGCTTTTGTATATCACGGATAGGTCTCTGAGATCTGCAGGGACTGGTCAGCTAGTGGTGCCCAGCATTAAATCCAAATGTGGTGAGACGTCTTTCAGCTTTTATGCTGCCCAATGCTGGAATCAGCTCTCCTAGGAACTATTATATGCCTCGACTGTAACCATTTTCAAAACAAAACGTTTTTAAACAGTTTTATAGGATTTTTATATAATTTTATTAATTTGGTTTTTAACTTGCTCTTTTATTAAAAGGTCTCTTTTACATGTTTTGCCTGTTTAATGACATCTGTTTATGATTACGGGCCATATAAATACACTTGCTTTGCCTTACAGTATTGTTAAATTATCCAGGAAACTCTTTTTTTGTACTGTCATTGTGTTTTCTTGTACTGTATTAGTACTTCTGGTATACATTTACAACAATGTTAAAAGGGATTTATATGTATGTGTATTTTTGGTTTCAACGGCCGATAAATTGTTGATCATATATGATATTATTTAAGGGAATCTGCTGTAGTAGTACTGGACTTATCCGGAGAAACCAAGAAAGGACTAAAAACAGGACACGAATAAAAAGAGGGACAAGAGAAGAGAACAGATGAAGCAAAATAAACAATTTCTCAGAGCTAATTGGATTAATAGGAAGCAATTTGGTGTGGGATGATCTGGTGTATGAGTATTCATGTGTGCGTGTCTATGTGCAGCAGTTGTTGCGCCTGAAGCAAAAATATGGAAAAAGAAATGAAGACAGATTTAGACGGACGCAGAGAGGGCGAGACAGATTTGGAGAAACGAAGAAGACAAAAAGAAAATCATCGAGGGAAGATGAGAGAGAGAGAGAGAGAGAGAGAGGGAGACGTTACTCCTCTCTGTCCTGGTCTGAAACGAATTGGTCCAGGATTAGAGGAGATTATATTTAAAAACTACAGAAAAAAATTATACAAAGCCCTCCACAGGTCTGGTTTCCATGGCGATAGTCTGCTGTGCAACAGTGCAACAGCAACAGGGGGAGAAAATAAAACCAGTTGCTGCCTCGATCACCAGGAAGACACAAACCAGTTGTAAGAGACTGATTAAATGAACAAATACTTGCAAGCATGCATTCCTGGTATATCACCACCATAGATCGGTCTATAAATATGTCTCTGAGTGTATAATAAATCCTTGTGCAGTGTTCTAGCCTGTGATGAGCCTTCACACTCACAGATCGTTCACACAAATCAGCCTACCTCGATCGTATCTCATGTCTCACTGGAAACAACACACCCTCACCAACGTAGCCCCCAGTATTCAGTCTGGACTTCTGCTCAGTAGCCTCCTGTCTGAACTTTGCAGTGAACCAAGCTAGTTGTTTGACTTTCTTCCGTCGTTTTAATGCTAAGCTAAGCTAATGAACTCCTGGCTCCGGCTCCGCATTTACTGTAACGTCACAAGAGCGGCAACCTCATCTGACTCTCTGCAAGAAAGTGCATGAGCCCTCAAAGCCAGCAATACATTTTGTTATGTTGCATGTTGAATACTGATTGTAAAATGGAACATAACTCATTAGCAACATGCATTTATTTCTTTTATATCTGAGTCTGTTTTCTGTTCAACCTTCCCTGTATTTGATATTTAAATAATAGATTAGATGAATGATGACATTTATAAAAACCGCAAAAATAGAAAACTGCATTACGACATATTGTACAAGACCGAAGACACACAAAGTTTTAGACAGTATGTGAAATAAAGAAGAGGTTCTTTGCAGGAAGCGCTGCCATAAAAAAGGTTTAAATGGTCGCATTAATCACAAAAACTGTCAACGGTGGGAGGACTGTCGTTTTTTTTTCTCAAGCCAGTGAATATCTTTGATACTCAAAGAAATTGTCTTAGGTCTTCATAACTATGTTGAAATCCAAAAGGAGCAGGGGAATAAGAAGAGGGCAGAGGTGTGGAGAAAACAGAAAGCTCCTGAGGCGTCACACAGTGTGAACAAGAACACTTTTCAAAAATGTTAGACTTCAATTATTCACTGAGACATCTACTTGTTTCAGCACCCCC